ATATATATATATATATATATATATAGTAATGAAAATGGTGTTACGTACAGATTATTTACATCTCGAAGATTTGGAGGTCTGTGACGTCATTACAGGTGACCGCCGGAGAAAAAAGAAAGTGAGGGACGCCGTGTTACTGCCGGTTGTCGACAAAAAAAAAAAAAACAAAAAAAAAAAAAAACCCTTGGTTCTTGGATTGCAAATATATGTATATATAGGGTGTTTTTTTTTTATTCATACACATTTGTTTAAAAATAACCGTGAAAGCTATACTAATGCGGTTTGTGCAAGTGGGTTATGCGGCCAGGCGGACATTTTTTGCGCGGCTAATTTTTAGGACAAGTCGGCTAATTAATTAAAATTTGTTCATTAACTTCTTAATTAGTGAAAATAGACATATGGTTCCAATTAGAAACTTGCTGCGTCATCCAAAACCACTAAATCGGTAATTTTCAGAAAGACTTTGAGCGCGTGAGAAGCGCAGTAGTGCACTAAAGTTACCACTTGTGGAGCAGGTACAAGGCTGGGGCTAGATAAGAGACGGAAAAATCGGGAGGGCGCCTTATCGCAACCGCGAGCCTCGCACCTGCTCCACGAGTGGTAACTTTAGTGCACTAGTATGCTTCTCATGCGCTGAAACCTTTTCTGAAAATGCCTGATTTAGGGGTTTTGGATGACGCTCAGCAAGTTTCTAATTGGAACCATATGTCTGTTATCACTAATTAAAAAAGTTAATTAGCGAATTTTAATTAATTAGACGACTTCTTCCAAAGATTAGCCACCCACATAATGTCCGCCTGGCCGTATAACCCACCTGCACAAACCGCATTAGTGTAGCTTTCACGGTTTTTTTAAACAAATGCAATTTAATGCACCACTACGCTTCTCACGTGCTCAACATCTTTCTCAAAATTACTGATTTAGTGGTTTTCGATGACGCTCAGCAAGTTTCTACCTGAAACCATATGTCTATTTTCGCTATTTAATAAGTTAACTAACAAATTTTAGTTAATTAACTGACTGATTGTTACAATTAGCCCCCTATATTGTCCCCCTGGCCGTATAACTCACCTCCACAAGCGGCGTAAGTGTAACTTTTTTTTTTTCAAGATCCTTGGGTTTTATAGTCGTATTTCCGTAAAAATCTAGGATTTTGTAGGTGACATGCCAGAAGCCTTTTGAAGTAGTTATTGAGAAGCAATTTACGTTCATTGTTTTAATTCCTCAGCCCATAGTCAGCCTATAATTTCTCTTTCTGGGTTGTGAACGTGTATAAACATGAAAAGCACCTTAAACTATGCAGAATGAGAACTTACAGCGACACTGTTACAGTCATTAAACGATTTCTTCGCCACCTGGCCTTACCAATGTTTCAGACACTAAAAATGACGACGTTAACCTTCAGAAAGCATAGCATAGCACCCCAATGGGAGCACCGCGTCTCTTCGCCATCGAAGTTTCACGCTACAGCCATTGCGGAGAAGGTAGTTGTGGTCAGTTCTGAGAGAGTGGAGGCGTCATTCTCACCGACTCCATCCCGAAGGGGACGACAGTGACGGCTGCATCCTACGAAGGCGTTATTGGCGAGGAGATCAAACCATAGGGGGTGCACTTTCATTATCATCATCATCACCACAAACAGTCGCTGTACGCACGCGCGTGACCACACATGTGCTTGTTTTGCCTTCCATGAGGACTTCGATGACATTGAACGTCAGGAGGGGACTAGATTACTTCTATCTACATGCATTTAGGAAAAAAGAATAATATATTACATATCTTTCACGAGCCGTGCGCAGTCGTCTTCCATGGCAGCGAATGCACTAATGACTGCGGCCGGAGGGCTTCTTTGCCATACAGCGGCGTTAGTTCCCGATGTGGCCGTCAGGAAGCGCCACTCCTCAATCGCCTCCTCAATAAGGAAGAAAAAAATACTCCCACATAGGGGAAAAAAATCGGGAAAGGCCACAGTCGTGATTTTTCATCACTACAATGCCGGGGCTCATCGGGCGACTCTTCTTCAAAAAGGTTGTCCATGAATACAACTTTGAACTGATTTTTGCTCTTATCGAAGCTGTTCCCGACTGTGAATGACACTTTTCGTGGGCGAGTGTTTTCGAGGCGCTTCGCTGTTTGGTCGGCAATATTCCAGTAGTCTCGGCAGACCCCCAAAAGAAGTATCCGCAGCAGCAATAAAGTTGTGGCGTCGACGTTGCGCACATTGTAGCACTGCACGGCGACTATGGGGAGAAGTGACGAAGTTTGTGCTTTTCGTTACATGTATATTTTTGTAGAAATAAATTATGAGGCCTAGGAACTTGAATGCCCCTCGTATATGTGCATGCCTTTCGGATTTCTTTTACTCCCGCCGTTGTATCCAATGGTCTCTTTAAAATACTCGCACGTCAAATTCAAATGAGGCGGAAAACGTTGTGAAATACAAACGAGAAAGAGAGAACGGGGGGATGAAGGACGGCCTTCCTTTGTAATATCTAGGAATGTCGAGTGCCTTTCGAGGTTCGAGTTCAACCAGGCTCGAATTTTCTTGTACTTCGAATGCGAAGTCAGACACAAATTCGACGCAAGCTCCACTTTTGCGCACATGTGCGAAAATAACAACAATAAAAAAGAGCCGGCGCCGCCTGGCACACGAAAAGTGCAAGTATTTGTTGCGTACATTTTTCCAATATTTCACAGTAATAAACGAATCGAAAAGTACAAAATTTCGTTTGTTACGTCGTGTAAACATTGATTACCATTTTAAAAGATATAAAATAAACTGCTTTGTACATTATTGTTTTCCAGAATTCGAAATATTTGTGCAGAAGTCGGGCAACTCTGCCAATAAGTCAAACTTCGAAGAACGATTTATAAGCATCTTCTTTAGTGCATGGAACGTCTGAACACCAAATGGGCAGACCGAACCCGAAGACTGAATTTTAAATACCAAGAGTGAAGTGAAGGGGAAGAGCCAACGACCTCTGTGGAAAAGGAAGTGAAAGAGGCCGAGAGAAAAATGTGGGAGGAGAGGTGCAAGGAAAAACAGGTTTAACTATGTGTGGGGGACGAAAACAGAAAATAAGGAAGGCTCTTTGGTACATATTTCATAGGGGTGCTCGTTGTTGTTTGAGGCTAAACCGGAGTACTGAGGACTAGCGGACTAGGACATACAGCGCAAAGCATGAGGAAGTGGATACGCGGTGTGCCGTGTGCCAAGGGGAAGACGAGACAGTATAACACGTGGTGTTGGGTATGAGGTGCACAAGGCTTGCTCTCTCCCCTCACAGGGGGCGACGGATCTAGCCAGAGCGCCGAGGTTTGCAGACGAGAATGGAAGAATGGATGAAAAGTGCATTTAATAACAAAGAGGGGATTGCAAGACTTCTGGAAATTATCTAGGGAGAATTGAATGGCGTAACACTAAAACAGCGGGGAACAGGTGGGACAGAAGAAAATGAAGATTCCCTTCCGCGTGGCTCCGGACCAGAGTCTTAACCCTGACTCCCAGTGGGCCCGGTGTTGGGGTAACGCCGACTATAGGTTTGACCGAGAGTCGGGGCAGGGGAAGAAGAGAGGTGAAATTTCCTGTGGAAAAAGGCATGTAAACCGTTTCGTTCGATGTCGGGTGGGCGTGGTGTACTGCATTCCTCTGTCCTGTGGCAAGGTGTACGTGGGCCAAACCAACACCACCTAGAATAACCAAATCCTCCGCATCGCCTCCTCTCCCTTCATGAAACGTCATCACAGTCGAATCGCGCTAACTCGGCTATTGAACCCGAGTCTGATCTTCGACGCGCTGATTGAACACGAGTCCTGGCCGAACACTTACGCAGCAGTCGTGCCCAATCTCAGGCCTCGATCGATCTGACTCTGATGACAGTGAGGAGGCTTTCTCCTTATTTTGGTAGTGTTGGCCGAATTGGACGCTGCGTTAGTGAAATGCTTAGGGCGCACCATGCATCTCTTCGAGCGACTCCGTCGGGCCACCTGGCGGTCCACTGTAATAGGTGCGGCTGCCCTCCAGTGTTCGGTGACACAAATATTTTGGGCACGTATAAAGAACAGAGGGCGAGATGAGCAATCTCAGGGAAGGGGGGGGGGGGGGGGGGGTGCTTTTTTTAGTGTTCTGAGGTTTCAATAAACATATCAGTTGCGAGTGAGCGCTTATCCGTCGTACGTGTCTCTTACCTTGTCCTCGTTTCTTATTCGCTTTCAAATCAGGAGGAGGAATCGTACTCTTGGTTTTTAGTTTCTAGGCCAGGTGGCGCAAGCTACCATCCGTTACAAAAGGTACAGTCATTAGCATTCATCCATGCATTCATTCGTTGCATCCATGCATTCATTCATTCAAGGCAACATTCCTGATTCAAGGTGAGTACGGCAGGGAGGACCTTAATTAGTTCTGGCTCCATCGCGAGCTTCTATACACTTTCAACAACGCTTCGGCGTCTCGCGCATCTTCAGCGCGCGCGCGAGCAGCCAAAGTACTCCGGAAGGCCTCCAAAGCACGCCGGAAGGCGTTCGGAAAAGACACCCTGCCGTTTTCATTCCGTCGGTGACTCTAAAGCCACAGTCACGTACCGAATGCATGACACAAAAGACAGCCTGCTGATGCAGTTTGAGGTGTGATTCTATACCTTGTACGGCGCTCCTGTCGCAATGATCGTACGAAAAAGCATCCGCAGAAATGTTCGATGCGAACAAATGTATGAAGCAGACGTGCTTGTAACGCGCTTGAGGCGTGTCCGCAGACAGCTCTGTCTTAAGGTCTGCAGACAAAACCCCGTGTCTTTTTGTGCAATGTACGAACAGTTTTTTTTTTTTGTTTAAGGTTTAAACGTTTAAAGGTTCGCCGAACTTGGTCGAGCGTCGAGGCTCAACGTAGAAACCTTGGGTTCGAATATAGAGTTCGCACTATTCCTAGTCACGTCGCCACGAACCCCAGTAAAAGGGGGGGGGGGGGGGGGGGTGTTATAGTACTGTATAGATAGAGCACTTACCGAGCCAGCCTTTACGACTGTCGTCCATGCAGAGCTCCCTCTCGGCGGACGGCAGCACGTAGGCGATGACCATCACTTCGATCGAGTCCGCGGCCAGCCCGAGGCCGCACACGAGGAACACCAGCCACTGGAAGAGACCTTCCCCCGCCTGCAAGAGAAGGGCCGCCGTTGGAGAGCCGTTGGAGCGCCGATCCGCGCCCAATTCGCGCGCCTCCTGGTGTTCTCGACTATGGAGTCACTGACAAAAGTAGGGTACGGCGCGTTCCGATGACCTTACTCCTCAGCCAATCTGATTGCGGCATCGGCCAAGAAGAACCAATCACAAAGCGAGAAAACTAAACGTAATAAGCCACGCCTTGCTTTACTTAAACTGTCAGTGACTATAAATCTTCATGTGACAAAGTAAATGTACCAAAACTATATGTAAAAACAAGTTACAACGCTAACCTTAAAAAAAAAAAAAAAAGAATAATTGAGGCAACGTTATTCCAGCTCGAAGTGTGACAAAACCCATTTTCAGCCTTTTTTAGTTCGTCTTAATTTCAGGAGAAACCAGGGTAGATAACAAAAATTAGAACGATTTATATCGGGATTGAAATCGCACCGATTTTGCTAGGATGCCTTAAATCCAACTTTTCCCCGAAATAATACTGAAAACATTTTTATTTACCATTTGTCTATCAGTGCTTGCTTCTCATAGACATTTATTTTGTATTTAAAATAAATAATGATCAGGAAGGAAACATTCATTTTAGGCAGCCATTAAAAAAAAAAAAAGGAAAGCTACACTGACGAAAAAGTTAACCTTTTCTAGTTGAACTGATTTGAATCAAGTAAGTTTGATTTAAATCAAATAAATTCAATATAACTCATATAAACCTGATTTTATTTATCTTTCTAGAGAAAAATTATGATTTTTCCAACTTTGACAAAAACTCACGTTTGCCATCGTTGAAGCCCGTCTTCCTAATATTATAAGTTTAACAGCTACTTACCTTTTCATCTATATCTTGTGGTCATATATCCGGTCTTCCCATCTTCACATCTCTACAGACTATCCCTCATTTCTCTCGAATATAATACAAGAGGCGGAAGATTTGCACTTATTGTACGGGTACAACACATGGGGGACACGCAGAAACTACACTATGCGGTCTCCGTTTTTTCGTTGGAGGCGATACTTTAAACTCTCGATGCTTTGTGCGGGATTCAGCGTAAGAAAGACGTGGTTACGGAGTAAGAAATATTCGTGAAAAGCGGACTTCACCGCGCACGTTTTCAATCGAGATTTTCGAAGCCGTGCACGTTGCCTGTGTTTCATAACCAGCATGTCGCCTGCGCCGGATGGCCGGGACAGCCGAAATTGCTTTCGAGCTCGCACGAGTCTTACTCCAAAACCGTAGTGAAAATATTTTTGTTTTATATATCTGTTGACGAAACAATTTGACGGCGGTTATTTCAAAATTTATATTCATGATTGTTCCTTTTTTTTTTTTTTTTTTTGTGGGCAGTGAGAGCTTGTTTTATTTATATATATCTGTTGACGAAAGAATTTGACGGCGGTTATTTCAAAATTTATAATCATGTCTGTTTCTTTTTTGTTTTTTTTTGTGGTCAGTGAAAGCTTGGGAAGCAATGAAAAATCCCCGGTACTTTGAAAATCGCTCAAAATGCCAAGGCAGCTCTCCTCCAGCAGACTTTGCATTTCTTTCGAGTTTTTTTTATTATTCCGAAATGTCCGCGGGTGTTGCAAGTGAAATCGATAGTAGGGTTGGTGGTCTGTATCGTCAACAGCAGGTGCAGGCTTGGCATGGCTGGTCCGTATAAAGCGTTATACAACAAATGCAACACAGAAACAAAAAAGTAAAGAGGAAACACAGATATACGGCACGTAGGAGAGGCGACTGAAGAAGGAGTCGGGGCATTAGGGATCTATAAAGCCGTGGAGAGGAAAGTGTACAGTCAACAGTCGGTGACAGGCTAAAAATCCAGTTCAAGTCCCTCCTCCTCCAGCAAGCATTCGTTGCCTTCCGCAGTGCTTTAGCTGCACGTGCGACGCAGGGTCGTCAAAGGCAGCAAGCTCGCACTGGAGGCGGAGCACATATGCTAAATTCTTAAACTGTTACCGACCATTCGGCTGCGTTTACACGAATGCGACCGTAGAGCACGGAATCGAGATTGGAACTTCTTGTTCGATAGTAGATGGCTATAACAGAAATGCTGAATTTGATGCGCTACGATAGTATTCATGTAAACCCAGCCATAAACATTTGAGGAGACCCGTCCCCCGAAGAAATTCTGTAGCAGACCTCAGGGGGGCGAATTTTGACACCCGATCCAGGAATAAAGATAAGCGTCTCGACTGTGGAAAACCTGATAAGTCTCGGGTGCTGAGCTCCTGTTAAAAATAAATAATTTCTACATCGTCGTCGACACAGCTCGACATGAGCTGTTCTTTTGATGGAGAGGGTGCATCTATTGCGACGATCTGATTTACCGAGATATCTTCCAGACAGACATTCTCCTCTCTGCACTCGTGAATAGATTATTTTCAAAGTGTGCGCCCTGAAGTTTCTGCTCCGGTGATTAACCGCCATATCTTGGACATGATGAAGGCTTCCCCCTTTCCCTTCACCCCATGATAAAATAAACAGTGAACTCTGAAAATGTACTGGCCTATTCTTCTATTGGCGACGTGCGCGACCAAAAGCGTAGCTGTGATCGGCCTTCCACGATTGGCCAGACTCTCACTATGACGTCTTGAGTAAGATTATTTCTGCTCTATTTAGCGAAAATAAGACCAGTCAGACTCAGCTCTTACGGAGTTATTTAGGAACGTGATGACTTGAGTTCCGTTCTGCTTTTTACGCACCATCGGGATTGTTGCTCGCTACTAAGAATCTTGGCCGTGACCTCAGGAATAGGGCCCATTAGAGGGCGCAACCTAAACCTTTCATCGCCATAAAGTCTGCGCCTTCTGCGCCAGAAAAATAGACCGCCAGGTCGCGGTAAAAGTGGGAGGAAAAGAGGCAGGCGCAGGGGGGAGATGGATGCACGGATAGACGGATACTGCTAAATCTGGGCGATGGTTTACGCCACCTAGGCTAAGCTTCTAATTCAAATTAACTATACCCCAATTCATTATTTTGAAGGCAGCGCCACCCAGGAGTCTCAATAGTCGTACAAAGGACCACCTCTTTTTTTTTTTTTTTTTTTTTGTGAATGTGTGTGTATTTTGCGTAAACAAACGAGGGAAAAAAAGCCCCATCTAAAACATAATTGTTTAGTACATCTCCTCTTCTAGTGGAAACTAAAGCAAGTAGGAGGATACACCAAAGGACTGGGAAAGGAAGGTAAGTCGTAGGTGGAGATGGATAACGGACAACTGTTGTTGTTGTTTGTTGTTTTTGTAAAAGCAAAAGGTGCGCGCGGACTCGCGAGGGCGCCACCGTTTTTATACCTTCTTTCCGTCCTGCACTGTTTTTCTCTCACTTCAAGTTTTGCGACAGGCATGGGTGCTTCGTCAACGTTCGGCGCATACTCGGATCCAAAGGTTTTGACACGGGCTCGAGAGAACGCTCGGCGACACTGGGTTCAAATCAACGCGAACCCAAACACACGCTTCGCGCAACAAGGGATACCCAAGATATGATGGCCGCCAGTGTTGCCTGATGAACTTTCGAAGAAGGGTCTCCTCACCTGCGCGACGGCGTCCTCGTGGAACTGGGACTGGAGCGGCACATCTGTGTCCACGTAGTCTGTCTCCCTGAGCGAGGCTGTGGGCCTAGGGTCCTCGGTGTACGAGCCGGGGGCGTCTCGGCCGACGAGGGACACGGACTCGGAGTCCTCGTCCCCCTTCATGGCGGCTGCCACCAGGGCGAAGCTCCGCTCACGGGACCGCCGCGGGTCCCACGCCGCTTACTCGACGACCGTTCGGGGCACTCTTGCGCTGGCCTCGGGACCTGCGACAGATCAGGGAAAGAAAAAACAAGATATTTGGATTCGACAAAGGGTTAATACACAACATGCTAAAAGTGAGTCACACTGCTAATACATTGTATGAAAGACAGTCTGCAGACAGTGCCTGAGGTGTGTTTCTTTTTTAGACTTAGGTTAGGTGGCGCAAGCTATCGCCCGTTACAAAAGGCATAGGCATTAACACCCATCCATCTTCCTTGTATGACGCGTCTGACACATTGGTCATATAAACAAACTGTCTGCAGACATGCCTGGAGCGAATACACACATGAAGCAAACATGCCTGAGGCATCTCCGCAGATAAGTCTGTCGTGACGTCTGCGCCGAACATCGTGTCTTTTGTACGATGAGGTGCAGTGTGACTGCGGCTGAGTGCCCGCATTTTACTGGGTACCAATTCGAAACAAAGCTTCATTTCTTTAGGAAAGGAAATGAGACCAACACATTTGCCAAGGTGTACGGTGAACGTGTTTTGCAGACGATCGAGTTACCGCGGTGGTTGTACCGTTTGGCGCCATCTCCCGCGATGGGCACAGCGAGCAGGCGAAACAGTGCGTCGACTGCTCGCCGCGCCTGTCGGAAAGGGAGGAAAAAGCTGTGCTTTGCCAACACCAGCTCTGCCATCAAAGCCCAAGTGCTTTCCTACGTCACTAAAGAAGGCCACCGTAAGAGAGAGATTGGACACGACTGCAGCTTCACCCGATCAGTGGCCGGTGGCCTTCTTTGGTGACGCGGGAAAGCACTCAGGCTTTCTCATCAGGGAGGTGTTGGCTCTGCTCGCTGCGTGATGCGACGAACGTGCACGTGCTAGTTTGTTGGCAGTTTAATGGAGGACCCCTCCTATGGTGGTATGTCGCAAGTGCGCATAAGTTGCGCTTTCGCGTTTCGCGGAGAAAAGCAGATGGAAAGGCGGCGACGTTCGCAAACGGCTTTCGGCACCTCCTCGCAGCTCGTATTGCAAACGCGGCCCATAAACCACGTGACCCCAACTGAACAGTTGTAATTTCTCTGTAATACAGGCTCACTACCATCGCTCATTCGAGCATCTGCGAACACGTTCACCGTCGACCCTGGCAAGTTTGTTGGTCTTATTTTCGCAGGAAGGGAGCTATGTCTCAAACGCTTACCAGGTAAAATGCATTCCCTAGAAGTGAATAGATGCCCTCCCAAGCGGCACGGATTTTGGCGAAGCACTGGCCATTGGCTGGCGATTGTCTTTTGGCCAATGGCCAAAAAGTGGTCATTCATGGGCCAATGGTAGGCCAATGGCTGATGACCACTGGCCAATGGCCAGAGAAAGGCCATTCATCGGCCAATGGCTGGCCATTGTCTGGCTACAAGCCAAATGACCATTGCCAGGTATTGAACAATGATTGGCCAAATCTGTGCTGCTTGGGCTATTTATCCACGACCCTGGCCGAGCGAACGCGAGAAGTCCGTGCGTGTGAAGCTTTCCAAAGGAGGATCTCGAGCGTATTAGGGAGTTTTCATGAATAGTTTCCTTACTTCCGCTACCCTCACCGCAATGAGGATGCCGTACTGCTCATGCGCAACGTTCTCCTTGTTTGAATTGAAGAGTTCCAAGGTTTCGTTTTTGGTTGCGGAGAGCGTTACGAGTCTACCGAAACGATCTAGGAAAACTCCTTAATTTGGAGTTTTAGCAGCTCGTTTTTGCACTCCAAGAACAACAACCGATAACGATACGATGCAGTACAGCATCGTATCGTTGACGAGTACAGTTTTTGGAGCTGTCGGAACAAGCTGCTTAGAAATGTCTTGAAAGCAGAGCACGTCTAATTATGTAGGAAAAGACCGCCAGAAGAAAGTGACCTCATTCAATAAATTTGGCGGGCGATGTTCAGAGGGACGGGACGAGACGTAACCACGGGACCCCGTCACCTGACAAATCTATAACACGCTATATATACACAAGGACACGGCCAGAGATTATTCAAACGGCCTGCAAGAGCCACAAGTCGCAGAAATGACTAAACCGTGCACTGCTATAATTTTAGATAAATGTGAAGTTTGTTGGGTTATTGTTAGGGCTCCGTGTTTTCGGATAAATCCGAAAAACTCCGAAAAACACCCGCCGGTAAAATTTTTGACAATTCGGATTTATCCGATAAACTCCGAATTGTTATGTGCCCCACAACAATTTTTTTTTTTTTTTTTTTTTACAATTTGATCAGCGCGGGAAGAGTGGTCCTGGGAAAATGACACCCTTAACATTTTTCAAGTCTCGGGCCGTTGTCAAAGGAGGGTTTTACGGCTTGTCTCGTCAAGATTGGTTGAGGGTTATATCAGGTCTGTTCTCGAGCACGCGTGTACAGTCTGGGACCCACCAGCTGCTGTTGATAGAAATAAACTTGAAAAAGGTCAATACTTAGCGGCTAGATGTGTTCCCGGGAATTATAACAGGCGACTCAGCATGACAAGTCTGAAGAAATTCTTTGGCTGGGAATCTCTTGAAAAAAGAAGGAAAAAACTACGGCTAAAATTATTTCATAACATTTACCACTGCAGAATTAGTACACAGCGCGAAAATTACATTTTCCCCCCGGATTATATCTCTCATCGTGTCGATCATGAACGAAAAGTATGTGAATATAAATGTAACACAAACCAGTTTAAATCTTCTTTTTCCCCCAAATCTATTAGCGAATGGAATCAATCGCCTTCGGAGGTTGTTGACATTTTGGACAATGACGCTTTCCGTGCTGCATTGTGAGAAGTGTTTTCTTTTTTGTTTCCCGTGTACTGGGTATGCATGTGCGCGTTCTGTTATGCTCCATTGTATTGCTTAAATGTATCACATTAATGAAAATTTCCTCCCCGCTGTAATGCCACCCTGGCGCTGTGGGGAAGTGAATAAATAAAAGGAAACAGGTCATCGTACCATTCGTGTCACGACAAAAGCCACTCTTTTGGTTTCTAGTTTGGGCCATGGGATTTAGAGAAAGGAGAGGGTATGTTTCTGGGGGTAACAGTGAAACCTATGGACCATAGCGATTGTACAAAATAGCGAAGAGGGGCAGTTGAAACCTGTCTATTACCATCCTTAACCCCTCCACCTCGCACGGCCGTGGGATAGATGGATGGGATGACCACGAGCTTCCTTGTGGCTGCCTCCGGCAGTTGATTGATTTTAAGGTATCGACGTTTATCGAAGCCATACTTGTGTGCCACTTTTGTCGTGGGACAAATTAGTATTGCCAATGACACCAACGCTAAATTCAACTGAAGAAATCTTAATTGATACGAGCGCGTTTCATTTTTTATCTGGCATACGTTTGCATCCGGTTATTATTTATTATTTTTAAGAGGAAACACTGCGAAAGTAATCTCCGAATTTCGGAGAATTGGGGATTTACGAAAAATAAACTCCGATAAACACCTAATTTTTGATAAAAAATAAACTCCGAAAAACACCCTCCGAACTTCACGAAAAATAAACTCCGAAATCAAGGAGCCCTAGTTACTGTTTACATAGCGAAAAGCCAGTTTGCCATAAAAAGACGTCTTACAAGTATTCACTAAAAAAAAAAAAAAAACTTTTTGAAAGGGGGGAAAAAAAGAGTCATCTTAACCTGTGATCTTTTGTGGTCAAGTCACAGTACATATTGGTATACAGCAGTTTCCAATACCGGAGTCTGTTTTAAGCTGCAACAGTTTGCTCTAAACGAAACAAGAAAAAAAACCTCTAACTATCCCTGTCACGTCATGAACGGTGTTGTCATCGGAACAAGCGCCGAAACACGAGACTCGCACTCCCACTCAGGCGTTAAGCAGGGTCACTGAATGCTAGATCACCGATTGATGGGTCTCAAAATCAAACCTTGTTGGTCAAACATCGTATACTATATATAATAGCTCAAGAGGAAAAGAATACATATATATGATTGCGCAAGAGGACAGGACAAGAGCGGTTGTCCTGTCCTTTCGAGTCACGTCCGTTCGCGACTCAATTTTTAAGCTACAGTCTTGCTGCTAATACGTGATACTAAAAGTATTGTCTAGAGATACTGTCTGGGGCTTGTTTCTTGTATGACGGTCCCGTCAGATTGGTCGTATAAAACTGTTTGCAGCCATGTTCGGAGCATATACAAATGTACGAAGCGAAAATGCTCGAAACGTGCTGGGGTCGTATCCGCAGATAATTCTGTCAAAAGAGATCTTTAAAGAACCGTTTTTGCGCGTCCGACACGGTACGATGGGCCCTCCAGTACCAACTGCGCATGCGCGACCAGAGAAGACGCGCATATGCACAGCGCGTATTCCGGAGGGCCCACCGTACTCTATCGAATGTGCCGACACGCTTCCCTAAAACTCCCTGTTAGGGACTTTAGGGAACCGTTTTGTGCGTCCGGTACGGTACGATGGGCCTTCCGGTACCAACTGCGCATGCGCGACTACAGAAGACGCGCATATGCACAGCGGGTATTCCGGAGGGCCCGCCGTACTCTATCGAATGTGCCGACACGGTTCCCTAAAGCTCCCTGTTAGGGACTTTTATGGAACCGTTTTCGCGCGTCCGATACGGTACGGTGGGCCCTCCGGTACCAACTGCGCATGCGCGACCAGAGAAGACGCACATATGCACAGCGCGTACCGGAGGGCACGCCGTACTCTATCGAATGTGCCGACAAGGTTCCCTAAAGCTCCCTGTTAGGAACTTTTAGGGAACCATTTTCGCGCGTCCGATACGGTACGATGGGCCCTCCGGTACGAACTGCGCATGCGCGACCAGAGAAGACGTGCATATGCACAGCGCGTACCGAAGGGCCCGTCGTACTCTATCGAATGTGCCGACACGGTTCCCTAAAGTTCCCTGTTAGGGACTTTTATGGAACCGTTTTCGCGCGTCCGATACGGTACGATGGGCCCTCCGGTACCAACTGCGCATGCGCGACCAGAGAAGACGCACATATGCACAGCGCGTACCGGAGGGCCCGCCGTACTCTATCGAATGTGCCGACAA